TCATATGGCACAATGTCAACAACTGATAAAAAAACATCATCTTGTACACAAGTGTGGAAACTGTTTAGCCAACAAGGGATTTTTATTTTTTGTATGAGTAGAGTTTCGAGACTATATAATGGATTTTTAGCTTTGTTCCTTTTGGTTCTGGCGGTATCTTACCTAGAATGAAAGGCTAGACTAGATAACTTTCCTTATTTTATTTATTTTACCTGTTTAAAAACCATTCGTCGCATTTGCTTAGCTTAAGAAATTTTTAAATACGGCATTACTATTTATTTTGTAGTTATGGTAGTCTTTTAAAATTTAAAATAACTGGTTATATATGATTATCAGATCATCAGTAATTTACCTTTTACCAGCCATTTTCAGTTAATCTGCTTCATTTAAATAGGGGTTTTCTTCTCTTCTCCAAAGTGAAATTATCTTTCATTCTTTCTCTTTTTCCTGTCCTGCTGACCTTCCGAAAACGTTTAATTTTGCCTGCAAAATTCTTTGTTAATTTTCTTATTTTTTTTATCGTTCACATTTCATTTATTATTTATATGTTCACTTTTTCGTTTGATTTGTTGCTTGAGTGGACGGCTTAATAACTTTATGGATTGCGTAATGGTTACGGGTCGAGAATTGATGATTCTGCCCATGTATGAATATGTGGCCTGACGGCTGGACAAGCACATTGGTTATCTAATGGATCGATCTTTTAATATATTTAAATGTGAAATATTGATTTCTTATGCTTGGCCAACTATGGTGATGACCTCTTCTGACATGGACTTCAGCACTCTCGCTTGCGGGCTTCAGCTTCGCAGTCTTTGTCACGTTCAAGTTTCCGTCAAAGTAAACCTCGCACTACGCCTATGCTCAAACCGAGTCAAGTGGTCACTTCCGAGGTATTGTTTAGCCATCCTGGTGTATCACTTTCCAATCATCTCAGAGATGATAGTAAACAGAAGGCCTCTTCATTGTTAGATGAAATATGTCAACTATCTTGTTCAACCGGAGAATCCGCATTGACCCTTTCTTCTTCCATGCTGGCCCCGGGTTTAGTTGTACTTAATTCAGCCGCCAAAAAATCAAATGGCCATTCATTTCAAACTTTTGAAACTTGTGAAACTGACAAGATAGCAGAATGTTTGACTTTTCCTAGTGTGGGTGGAGATAACACAATAGCCTTGATCGAGGATAGAATACAGCCTATGGGGCTAAATGGATTACCTATTGCAGACTCTCTTACGTTGGGCGGCCAGGTTGATTCTTCTCCATCTGCCACTTCTGGCAATGGTATGATTATAAATGCATCTACCTCACCATCAAGATTAGAACCCCCAGCGCCCTACATACTTTCGCATCACGCTTCTTTCGAAAAAGAGGGTCTAGGGTTATCTAAGTCAAGAAACAGAAACAGGAAATGGCGACCGGGCAGAATGGTGAGGCGTGCTCGAAAAAGGCGGCAACAGGAGCAGACTTTCGCTAGCTCAGCCGAAGTTGGGTCTACTAAATCAGATCCTTCTGTTTCATACTTGGATGCCTGCCAGGAAGGCAATAATCTTGTTCACGACAGCTCCCCATCAGCCGAACTTTTCTGCAAAAATGACGCATCAGATGCTCATTTAGATCTTGGCGAAACGCATCAGTTCCAAGAATCTAAATTAGCAGCTGTTCAAGAGGCTAGCCGCTTCTGCCAGTCTGCCTTAAGATTTAAAAGCAAGGATTTAGAACCCGCATCTGCTATGAGCCCAGCCCCTGTAAACATAGGCTCTGCAGGCATGCTTGGGCAGAATAACTTCAGACGACCTCTTTTCCTGGATTCGCTCTTCCAGACCGGCCTATTATCCGATGCTAGGAGATCAAGGCGTAGAAATCGAGCTGATGAAGACGAGAATCAGTCAGAAACATGCAAGCTACAGTTAGGGGCTATGGAAAAACATGATCAAGAAGATTTCAACAATCGGCCATTGGAGTTGAATGATACGCTATGCACCTGGGACTCATATGAGAGGTCAAGTGTCCAGGAACTGGGTATTAAGGTTCGATATGTTTTTTAAGAAAGATAATTTGATTTGTTCATTTTGTTTATGCATGAATCGTCGTTTGGCTGTTAATCTTTCATTTTGTGCAATTTTGTGTTTTATAAGAACTTTTATTAAATTTGTTTAGACTACTTGATTTATCTTTTCTTGATTTTCGTCTTTAGAGCATTCAGGCAATTATTTATGCCTACATAAGATTTATAATGTTATTCTAAGCGTTAGGCTTTGAATATACTAGAATTGGCAGAAGGAT